GCCTTGCTTTTAGTTTTTGATAAAAAAAATTGAAAATTTATGTTAAAAAGAGCAGACTATAAAAGAAAATTATTTTGTGGTCGATTACTGTAGTTGGTACTCAAAGGATTCATCATTTTAATAATAGTCAACAGTATGTAGAATTTTTTGCTAAATAATTGTCAATTTAGTAGCGGTTTCCATAGATCTCACTAAAAATATTTTGTAATTAAAAACCTGCTACAATAATTTAATTTTCAAATACTCTTTGACATAAACAAATAGTTTGTGGACCCAATTATTTTTACTCCTGCGTGCAAAGCACATCATTGGAGTCTTTATAGTTACTTCGTCTGTGTGTATGTATGTCTGTTCACTCTCCAGCTGTTAAAGGACATGGCATAATATGTGAAGTGATTTGGCATTAAATTTGGCGGTGGTTGTCGCGCTGTGCATGTGCAACATTTGTGTTGATAAACATTGATTTTCTCACAATCCAATGCGCTCTTCTAATGGGCATCACAAGTATGAGGTTTGACTTACACAAATTACTACCGGTGACTCCTTCGATACCTACCAATCACTTAAAAAAATACCTAATTAAAGCTTTGTAACGTCTCAGTTTGTACTCGTTGATCTGCGCAACAGTCAAAGTCGCCATCTTTGTTTTTATGAGACCCATATATCTCGCGCATGCGTGGTGCGACGACTACTGCTCTTTAATTAAAATTATTTCCCAAATGAGTTTGAAATTTCTTTAAATTTAATTAATAATATTTATATCATGTATATTTAAAAAAAAGATCAATTTTTCTGATTCAAGTGGCGTCTATTAGAAAAAAGTCTATAACAAAAGAGTTTTTTTGTTTTGTTTTTTGTATATTTGTATATATTTGTATATACTGGGTATCATCCAATTTTTGAAGTTGTCTTACTTTAATTACTAAAATAGGGAAGCACTATCAACGATTTACGTGAGAAATCAAATGCGTCAATTATGATAAAAAAACTTATACACGTTCCTGGATATCATCAGTGTATTGTGACTGGTAAGTCAACGTATTGATATTACTTTATTTCACGACTATTCGCATGGTTTCTTTCTTTCTTTTTTTATTTTTCCAATTTATTGCTTTGATATATGCTATACCAGTTGTGAGTAAAGACCTATATCTCAGACAATCTAAAATAGTTATTTTGGGGATAAAGCTGGGATAACAACCACTTTTTTCATCGTAGGGGCTTTCTCAAATTTATTTTGTTTGTGGGGAAGGAAAGCGGTCAAAGGTATATTTTGGTGGTGAATTCAGTTTTTAATTCTCCTAGTTAACAAAAATTGATGTTTTTTTTTTTATTTGATAGCAGCAGTGCTCCGTTTGGTCTATAAAATACAATAAATTACTATGATATCATGTTTTTTTTGAAATATTAAATAAATGTTCATCTATATGTATTTCTAATGTTACAGGTCTACAAAGTCAAGTTCTTGCGGCATTGGCACTAATCAAGACAATGTTTCCTGACGTAGACACCACTAAATCTTCATCCCACCACACTGATGGATTTGAAAATAAGGTACAGTACAACTCAGTTGCTAACACAAGGAAACTAGTTTAATTTTGCGACATAATTTTTGCAAATTTTGTGTGTCGGTCACGATCATGAAATGTTGTAGCAGCGAACAGTCCTACGACACAAATCGTCAGCGACTTTTGCAAAATTTTGTCTGTTATAAAATCATCAAATCGTGAAAATTACAAGTAGCGAAAATTAAGCGGTTTACAATATTTAAAGCACGGTGGTCGTTGTGCAGCGCATGTTCGAATTTTATGTAAATAAACAATGTATTTTACACACGTTGTATACGTTGCTATGAGTCCCATATCGAACAGGACGCGGCACAACGACTGACGCCTTTAATATTTTCACCACCAGTTCCCTCTTTTCATCACAAATTCACAAAATGTCCCCGTTTATAGTCTGCACTTTCCTTCAGAAGATTAGGACAAAACATTTTTTTTAGTAAAAACTGAAAATTGGCTTCAAAATTAGGGTTCATTTCCAGAAATATTGACGAATATAAGAAAAAAAGTGCAGCAAAATTTGGGCGAGAACGTCTGGTGGTGAATAGGTTAACCATTCTACATGTATAAACATACAACTTCTGTGAATGTAAATGTGTTATATATAAAGATATTAATTGTAATACATGTAAAAGTAGTTGTTATTGCAACAGAAAGTACAGACAACTTTGATCAAATGCCGCTTTGAGAAGTGCGCCCTCTATAAAGATGATATGACGTGCGACTGCTGCAAAACGATTTGTGTGACGTAACTAATTGTGTTAATACACTGGGGAATCATTGATGCAACAAAAATTATACATCGATACAAGGATCTTGAAAAACATGTTTCTATTTGTAATATATTTGTAAAAACAAAGGAAATTAGAGCCACAAGATTTTTATTTGTGCCTCAAGTAACATATAGGCACATACAATACTGCCCCCCCCCCCCAATCAGTCAACGCGCTGACTCAACATGATTTTGACTCAGGATCCCTACAAAACAATCCTATCACAGAGCACACCACTTTCCTTATTTTGTAACACTCTTAAGCGCTGCTTTTTAAACACATTTTTAAAAAAAAGTTGTAATCACCGCTAGACGCTAGATAAGTCCTGTTTTCTTCAAATGTTTTTAATATTTCCATTTTTTTTTAAATTTAAGTGTAAATGAAAACCAAAGTGGAGACTCCAGATAGAGATCATCAACTTCAAGACTACAATTATAGTTTGTTTGTTTTTTTCAGTTGGAAATACCAAGTAATGTATGTATTAGCGTTCATGTGTGTCATGTCCACGCTGATGGCCACTTTTTTGTACATCAGCCAATGCATGAGACGTATGCAGCATTTTGTAGACTAAGGGAGTGTCTTTCACTGTACCATGACCCACCTGTTGTGACTCAGCCGATGCAGACACCATTACAAAGTAAGTTTGGTTAATTGTGATTTTTTTTTTATGGGTTAGTGTTTCAAATTGCCTGTACAGTTATTTATAATTTATGTAAATGGTTACTTGAAAAAAAACAGCTGTGTAATGTATTCCCACTGATTGCATGACCTGTCAGATCAGGTGTATATAATATTCCCACTGATTGGCCTGTCAGTCAGGTGTATATAACATTCCCACTGATTGGTCTGTCAGTCAGGTGTATATAACATTTCCACTGATTGGCCTGTCAGTCAGGTGTATATAACATTCCCACTGATTGGTCTGTCAGTCAGGTGTATATAACATTTCCACTGATTGGCCTGTCAGTCAGGTGTATATAACATTCCCACTGATTGGTCTGTCAGTCAAGTGTATATAACATTTCCACTGATTGGTCTGTCAGTCAGGTGTATATAGCATTTCCACTGATTGGCCTGTCAGTCAGGTGTGTCTAACATTCCCACTGATTGGCCTGTCAGTCAGGTGTATATAACATTCCCACTGATTGGTCTGTCAGTCAGGTGTGTATAACATTCCCACTGATTGGTCTGTCAGTCAGGTGTATATAACATTCCCACTGATTGGTCTGTCAGTCAGGTGTGTATAATATTCCCACTGATTGGTCTGTCAGTCAGGTGTATATAACATTTCCACTGATTGGTCTGTCAGTCAGGTGTATATAATATTCCCACTGATTGGTCTGTCAGTCAAGTGTATATAACATTTCCACTGATTGGTCTGTCAGTTAGGTGTGTATAACATTCCCACTGATTGGTCTGTCAGTCAGGTGTATATAACATTCCCACTGATTGGTCTGTCAGTCAGGTGTGTATAACATTCCCACTGATTGGTCTGTCAGTCAGGTGTATATAACATTTCCACTGATTGGTCTGTCAGTCAGGTGTGTATAATATTCCCACTGATTGGTCTGTCAGTCAGGTGTGTATAACATTCCCACTGATTGGTCTGTCAGTCAGGTGTATATAACATTCCCACTGATTGGTCTGTCAGTCAGGTGTGTATAATATTCCCACTGATTGGTCTGTCAGTCAGGTGTGTATAACATTCCCACTGATTGGTCTGTCAGTCAGGTGTGTACCCACTGATTGGTCTGTCAGTCAGGTGTATATAACATTCCCACTGATTGGTCTGTCAGTCAGATGTATATAACATTCCTACTGATTGGTCTGTCAGTCAGGTGTATATAACATTCTCACTGATTGGTCTGTCAGTCAGGTGTATATAACATTCCTACTGATTGGTCTGTCAGTCAGATGTGTATAACATTCCCACTGATTGGTCTGTCAGTCAGGTGTGTATAACATTCCCACTGATTGGTCTGGCAGTCAGGTGTGTATAACATTCCCACTGATTGGTCTGTCAGTCAGGTGTATATAACATTTCCACTGATTGGTCTGTCAGTCAGGTGTATATAACATTCCTACTGATTGGTCTGTCAGTCAGGTGTATATAACATTCCCACTGATTGGTCTGTCAGTCAGATGTATATAACATTCCTCCTGATTGTTCTGTCAGTCAGGTGTATATAACATTCCCACTGATTGGTCTGTCAGTCAGGTGTATATAACATTTCCACTGATTGGTCTGTCAGTCAGGTGTATATAACAGTTAACGTTGACCTTTATAAAATTAAAGGGGGTAGTTGTTGCGCTGTGCATGTGCGACATTTGTGTTGATAAACATTGATTTTCCCATAATCCAATGTGCTCTTCTAATGGAAATCACAAGTATGAGGTTTGACCTGGGCGCGACTTGCACTAATTATCGCCAGTGACTCCTTCAATATCTTTCAATCACCTAAAAATACCTAATTACAGCTTAGTAACGTCTCAGTTTGTACTCCTTGATCTGCGCAACAGTCAAAGTCGCCATCTTTGTTTATATGAGACCCATATATCTCGCACATGCGTGGCGAGACAACTACCACCCTTTAAATAATTATTATATTTATTTCTTTAGTTGGTGCAGTTGGTATTACGAGTCTAAATGAAGTGTGGTATAGATGTCAAGTGTTACAAGTGTTCAATAATGTGAATAAAGCTGAAATTCAGTTTGTTGATTTTGGTGGCAACGCACAGGTTAACATGGATGAAATAATACAGATGCACGATGACTTTACTCTACTTCCATTCCAGGCATCGGAGTGTTGTCTTGCTTCTATTTCACCTTTGGATGGTAAGTGTTAAACACTACCAGTATATAATGTACATGCCACATTTTCACAATCAAGATCTCCTGCGTCACTAAAGTCAGTGCTAAGCTACTTATAAGATTGTGCTTGATTGGTTATCGTTATCGTTAACAGTTGAACCAATCAGAGAGCAGTGTCCACCTCTATATAAAAAAAACACCTGCCAATAATGACCACTTTCAGGCAGTCCTAACACATGAGCAACCTGTGTATAAAAGACCACTTGTGGAATATGTGACCATCTTTAGAGCAATAATTTCACCTCATCGTGTTTATGAAAGAATTTTTAATTTCTTCAAGTCAAATTTATTTAACTTTGGTCAACTCAAAAATATGTGGTGTTTTTGTTGCAACAGTATAATCATTACTTTCTAGACAAATCACTTCTGGTAGACAAGAAATTAAAGTGCTTTTAATGTAGTTCATAGTGTATATTGCAAAAGTTTGTCAGATTTCAAAACATTAGTCTCGATCTCCATTGAGTTCGTAATCTCGGTCATTTTAATTAACTCTAGTCAGTATAACATTATCTTTTTTATGCACTATATACGGGTACATAATAAACGATGTTGCCTAAAACAATTCAATTATTCAATAAACCAGAAGTTTAGTAATAAATTCACATACTGTAAATTTTTACTATTTTTGCTAAAGAAATGATTCAGTGAAAATAAAGTCTAGCGAGTATACCTTTTTCCTATTTTTCACATTTAACTTGTCAAAAATCAGTGAAAATAAATTCCATGAAAAATATCCAAAAAAAAACTTTTCAGCGAAAATTAATTCCAGCTAAAATAAAGTATTCTACACTATTTAACAGATCTTACAAAATCCCTGGAATATTTTTATTATTGTGCATCTCATCAGATCATACAACAATAAACAAAAATAAGAAATCAATTCACATATACAATGGCACAGATCAGTGCCCAAAACCATATAGTGGCTGTCCTGCCAAAAATATTAATTGAAAGTGTGAGGCATTTTGAGCCTGCATAATACATCTGAAAGCTGAAAGGCTTCATTTGAATACATACCGAACAAGCCAAACAGTGACCAAGTTTTTTGTGAAAGCGTCCTCCCCATTAAACTAGGGCCACAACACACAGTTACTAAAAAAGATAATTTTAGTAACCGTGCACAACAGAAGAAACCTTTTATTTTGAGAAAGAACTGATTCATGTAAATTTTTAAACAATGCATTTTGCATAGCGCAGTATTTTATGGCCTTACTTTCTTTTTATTTCCAGGTGAAAAATGCTTTTCTGAGGAGTTTGTAACCGCTTTAGAACAGCTCACACCATCAAGCACACCAGTACAGATCCAAGCTATTGATTATAATGATGCAAAACCATTGGTCAATCTTTATACCTACCACAATAACATGGTATGTAGTGAAACTTGTCTTAACTGAACACCACAGGAAAA